TGAATGGTAGTAGAGGCCTATACTACCGGAAGCACAGGACTCGCACTTGGATCAGGGAAAGTCACAAGGTTACCAAGAAAATAGTAATTGATTCTGTTTCGTTCATGTACGTCATTACCATTGTTTCGGTAATGACTAAGCAGATAATTGTTATTCTGACCCTAGTGGTCATATCAAATTGAGTCCGACTACGATGAGTTTGTTACGTGGTTCAGAGAACCAAGTTCGATGTAACATCTGACTTAAGTCAGAAGATTAAAATCAATGTGATCATTGGTAACGCGCTCGTTGTTAATGAAGATTTTAGCTGGAAATGCTACATGTTAAAATGTGGTTATATCGCATTAGAATATGAAGGGATGTATATTCCATTCTGGAATTTAACTCTAAAAGACCTGAGTCTAAGCGTTGCATCATATGATGAGAGGTCATTAGAGCACGACCCATCGGTCTGTTACAATAGATAAAGGAAAGTATTTATCCTAAGAAGAAGAAGGAGTCCTCAATAAGGATTTATTTTGTAACTCGAAGGTTACAATTGAAAGTCCAACATAAATACGAAAAGCAAATGCAAGATTAAGCATCGTCTGCAGTCAAGGAGCCCTAGAGTTAGATACTCTTTCGAAGAAACACAGAAGTTACGATTATTACCTAGGATGAAAAGATAACGTATGGAATCATTATACAAGCCCTATTTCGTTGATGATTCCGGGACGTAATCATCCTAAGGGGGAGATAATTGTAACACCCGTAGATCCGAGCTAGTCAATTTAAGGAAAATGAGCGTCAAAAATGACCTTTTGATGGAAGATTATTTAGAGGGAGTAATCTTAACCAATTTGTAGTATATGTCGCAAGGTTTCCGAAAATATAAAGAATGCCGAAATCCGAGTTATAACGAAGAAGTTATGACTTGTCGAAGAACCGGCACGACACAGCGCGACGTAAATAGTGAATTTATGATAGAGCTATATTTAGATTTAGCAATCTAAACGAAAGTCGTAGAATACGTTAAACCGAGAGTGTGCATGAAAAAGAACGCCCAAATCTGACTTCGTATGAGGAAGTTATGATTTTTCGAAGTTTCGGCTTAGTAGTGTACAACCCGAAGTTCGAATATGAGATCGAGCGATATTTAGCCGAAACAATCTAAACGAGAATTTAAGATCTCGTCGATATTATTCAAAATTAGCCGACGGAGTTTAAACGAAAGTTGTAGAGTATAATCTCACCTACGCGCGGGTATAAAGAACGTCGAAAACGGAGCTCGTATGCGAAAGTTATGAATTTTTGAAGTTCGAGGCACGCATACCAAAGTTTATCCGAACTACGCCCTGCGTAGATCTTTGTACGCCCAGCGTACTGCTTGTAGAGGCATTACGCCCAGCGTAATCATGATTTACGCCCAGCGTAAATCGGGGTTTCAGCCCTTATAAATAGAACTCAAGGGCTGTCGAGTTTTGTTGCTCAATTCTTCTCTCTCTCTCTCTCTCTCATTATTGCCTCGTTTTGCGTGCAACTTATACCCCGAAGCCCCGATATCATTCCCGAGACCCGAAGCAAGTCCCGAAGCCCCGAGGATCCCGAGAAGTAAAGTTTCCGAGCCGAAACTCTGCCCGCGTAAAGCCCGGTTTTGGAGAAAACATCCCGGTTTCATCGAAGATTATTGTTTTAATAGACAGGGTGCTGTCCGATCAATCGTCGTATCAAGTGAGTGTGTAGGTACTTTCTTCTACCGCATAGATAAGAAGTATTTGTTATAAAATACGTGCTATGTGTTTATACATTATTTGTTTATTTCAAATAAGTGTTGAATAAATGTTTTATACAAGTTTTAAAATGTATATGTATTTTTATCTACAAATATGTTGGGTTAAAACATTGGTAGATAGTTAATGTGCGATAAAATGATGAGATAAGCGATGAGCAATGAAAGATGAGCGATGGTATATGAGTGGTAAACTATGGTGAGAAGCGATAAGCGATGATATATGAGCGGTAAAATATGGTGAGAAGCGATGAGCCAAGCGATGACCCAAGCGATGGCCCCCGTCATTCAGCAGAGTATGGATGACAACCACGGATTATTCTAGACAGTCCAGTGGAACACTAGCAAGCTCGCAACTTGTAGGTGTTGTGAACAATGTGTTCACCCGTGTACTCTAAAAACCCTGGCAGCTATGGACTTAATGCCTTATATAAATACAATGGTAGCTATGGATTTAGTACTGTGTAGATGAACCTTGGTAACTATGGATTTAGTACTGTATAGATGAACCATGGTAGCTATGGATTTAGTACTGTGTAGATGAACCTCGGGCAGCAATGGACTTTGTGCCAATTCCTTAGGACAATCCTTAGGAATGAATGAAGGAAGGATAGTTAATTCTTAGGGTAAAACCTTAAGAAATAGAGAAGATAATGGGGATGGGTAATTGGGTTGATTGTTTGATGATTGAAATTAATAATAATTATATTATTGTGGGTTGAAAACCCTATATGCTCACCAGGCTCCCAAGCCTGACCCACTAAGTTTATTTGTATCACAGGTGTCGATACGAAGCTGCTTTGCACTGAGAGATTAAAGGAGATGTAAATCACTAGTGTAAATGAATGTATGTTCTGTTTATGCTTTTGGTCTGTATCGATGTGGACATCCCGAGTTTTGTAATAAAACGAAAATACATTTATTTAAGAAATGCTTTGATAAATATTTATTATATTTTGTTTGGGGGACAAATCCCGCAACACCTTTTGAAAGATCACTCTGATTTTATTTTAAAAAGCATAAACGAAATCGGTCTTTTCTGGCCGTGAAATTTGGGGATGTCACAACCGCCTACGCCACTGCCAGTTCAGCATCCTCATCTCGCATAAAAGACCCTATTTTGAAGAAAATAGAAACAATGTTATTTTTGTAAGAATGAATGTATTGTATCAAGAATGAATTAGTTTAGTAGATTCTTCATTGCTAGAAATTTTTCATTCTCATAAGAATTAAAAATTTGGAATTGTAATTTCTTTTGTTTTTTATTGGAATATATTTTTATTTCTTCAGAGAATGTTTACATTCTTCATAACATTCATAAATTTATAATTTATAATTTTTTCATTCTTACAAAAAATGATTCTTAAATAATTAAATTTATTTTCGTGTAATTAATATTTAATAAATTTGTTTCCTAAAATATAGAATTCATTATTTTATTGCCTAAAATAAAGAAACACAAAATGTCCATTTTACCCCTAAGACATTGAAATTCGAATTCTTAAAAAAATTAATAACAATTGTAATAATATTCTTTTAAGAATATATTTTTTTCATAGATCCTATGGCCACGATTGAGTTACAAATTTACACAGTAGACGTCGTTTATATTTGAACCTAGCCTATATATATATATATATATATATATATATATATATATATATATATATATATATATATAATCCGCTGAGAACTCATAGTTTCCTGAGAACCCGAGAATTAAATGTGGATCTTTAGACCAAAATTAACTCATTAAGGGCATGATCGTCATCTTACCAATCTCATTTAATGTTTAATTTTTTGTGTTATTGAAAATATAAATAAAAATGTCTAAAAATTAACATAATAAATCAAATTTTCGGATTTGAAAAAATAATAATAAATTTCGATTTAAAAAAAATGCAGATTTTTTAATTTTATTTAGAAAACATGAATTTTTGTAAAAAAATTGAAAAAACATTATTGTTAACAAACTGCAATTTTTTAAAAAAAACTGTAAGTTTTAAAAAATCATTAAATTTTAAAAAAAATCTAAAATATTAATAAAAACTATAACTTTTTAACCAAAAAAAATCAACGTTTTAGGTGGATATATGTATATTTTTTCAAGTGCATATATCAATATTTTTTACTATAATATTCGTAAGTAAATTATAAAAAAAAACTCATTTTTATTACTAATCTATAAAACAATAGTATAATTCTTTTATTCGATACAAAATAAAATATAAAAAACAAAAAATGTTGCAAAACTTTAAAACGTTTTCATGTCTTTGTGTCAAAATTTCCCTATTTTTCTTCAATTTATCATTTTTCACATGTTCAATATTTTACACAAAAATTTTCAAATCTACAAAAAAAAATAACAAAAAAAATTGATTAATGCAAGAAAACTTATATATATATATATATATATATATATATATATATATATATATATATATATATATATATATCATTACCTATATGTTCAAGAGTTCCACTTATGTCCACGTCGATGATCTGCTTCCTCCTCCAATACGAGTGTTTTGGGCGACTATTTTTAACTTATTTTGTGGATGTCGAAGCAGCTTGGCTGCCTGTCTCACCTCCTTTAACCAATTGGAAGTTGGTTGCCCATAGAAGACTTCGCTGGTGGATTTTGCTCCTACGCTTGACACCAACTGCTTCTAGCTTTTCCAATTGCCATGATTTGTGGCTGAGTCACTCAGGCACATCTCTCCACGTTTTGGTTAGGTTATTATGTTTTTGTATGGATGATTCTAGGCCAATTATGCAAGTTGGTAAAACTTTCTTCGTGTTCACTCTCTAAGAAACTCATCTTGAAGGAGTTATAGGAGATAATTACGAATGATCACAAGTAAACGTCTAACTACATGCGATAACATTTATATATAAGAGACGAAAATTGATGTTTTATAATCCGGAATAACTGTCCGGAACGTATGTCCGTGACTCTGCATTGTCACTTAAACGTGCTAACATGATAATCATACGCAGATTCTTGTTTCAGACAGGGGTATTCCGGAATGTACAAATAATCTTATTTCAGACCAAAGTTGCGGAATGAATATAATGACTCCAGAATACTCTTTCGAAGTAAATGATATTTTACAAAAAAAACAAATTTAAGTCGGTTATTTTTATTAACAAACTCGTTACAAGATCAGATTACTCAATTTCCGGGTAATAAAGCTCATGTTTAGATATTAAACCCGGTTCTTAACGCATAACCAAGCCTTCCTGACACTATCACGCTATCAAAGCAGGGTGCTCGCAACCGCGATGCTTCATCTAAAACACCGCCTGCCCATCATGTCCACTACCGCCGCCGCCATGTTGTCTTCATCTTCATCTTCTGTATCACTCAGAAACCCTAGATTACCAATATCATCGAATTTCAATTACTTCGGTAGTGTAAAATCCTGCAACCGCCTTTCTCTTTGCAGTCGCTTATCCAAAATTTCACTTCGTTGTTTCGCTTCGTCTACTACCACCGCTATGGATAAAATCCCCGTTCTCAATCCCATTGTTGAGATGGACGGTAGCTATCATAGACAATACGTTTTCATTGTTGTTAATACTTACTCTCTCACAGGTGTCTAAATTGTTCCTTTTTTCTAGGTGATGAAATGACGAGGATCATATGGCAGATGATTAAAGACAAGGTTCGAAGATTTTGATTTCGTAATTGTTTTTCGCTGTATACAGTTGACCTAATTAAGTTCACCGCATCTCCGTTGCTTATTGTTGTTTTTCTTTTCCATTTCAGCTCATTTTTCCGTACATAGATTTGGATATTAAGTATTTTGATTTGGGAATATTGAATCGTGATGCTACAGATGATGAAGTTACTGTAGAAAGCGCCCATGCCGCTCTGAAGTAAGTGATGATCGCCTCTTTTTTCCTATACCCTCAATGATCGCTTTAAAGGCTGATAAAAAACTTGCAACTCTATTCAAGGTCTTACTTAATTCACAGCCTACTAGTGCATTCCGTATTGAGCTCCCTGCATCAGTCATATGTAGCCTTTATAGACTTTTGTATGTAGATCATATTACAGAGTGTCTGTGTTAATAGGAACTGCTGATTCTAGTGATGATTCCCGCTAGATAGCAATGTGGTTGAGTAATATGAATGAAACTAGTGTTTTGTGGATGAAATTAAGAGAAGGATCAGAGAACTGCGTTTCAAGTCTAGAATTGGTGTTTACATACATATTTCTTTAGTCTTTACTTTATTTGAAATCTTAACCAAAGTTTTCATGTTTTGTAGGTATAATGTTGCTGTAAAATGTGCTACAATCACACCTGGTTAGTCATTCTATAAACCCACTTGTAATGTGTCAAAACTCCAAATGTGCTAAAATCTCAGATCATATATTCCTAATGTTGTAGATGAGACAAGAGTCAAGGAATTTGGATTGAAGTCCATGTGGAGGAGTCCCAATGGCACAATCAGGAATATTTTAGATGGTTTGTATTGGCATTATGTCTTAGTACTCTCAATACACAAATTATATTAGTCAACTGTTTTAACTTGTTAGGATTCTTTGGATTCAGGGACGGTTTTTCGAGAGCCTATTATGTGCAAGAATGTTCCTAGAATAGTCCCAGGTAAGTGTCTGACACCTACCCACTACATGTATTTGGTAACCATGGATGACCTGTAGTCTGTAGAACCTTTTTTTAAAATTTTTTTTTCATTGTTATCTTCCAGGGTGGACGAAACCGATTTGTATTGGTAGGCATGCATTTGGTGACCAGTATCGTGCTACAGATGCAGTCATTAAAGGGCCAGGAAAACTCAAGATGGTTTTTGGTATGCTAAAAATTGATTTTAATATAATTTATACCTGAAAAAGTAAGATAGATTTATATAAAATGTTTGTTGTGTGATGTGTTTAGTCCCGGAGAATGGTGAAACTCCCATGGAGCTTGATGTTTTTGACTTTAAAGGTCCTGGAATTGCACTTGCAATGTATAATGTTGATGAGGTTTGGGTTTTTTACTTTTTCTAACTATCACATTTTATATCATAAGATGATTCAAAATTTAAAATCTTACCATGAGAATTTTATGTTTTTTTGGTAGTCTATCCGTTCGTTTGCTGAATCATCAATGTCAATGGCACTCTCAAAGAGATGGCCTTTATATCTGAGCACCAAAAATACTATTTTGAAGAAATATGATGGGAGGTAACAATGTCTTCCTTTTTTATATACAATTTGCTTTGATATTATCTACAATAGTTGTGGCATTATGTTCTACTATATGTTGACATGTCAGGTTTAAGGATATCTTTCAAGAGGTATATGAGAAGAACTGGAAGGAGAAATTTGAAGAACATTCAATATGGTAATTCCCTTTTATGGGTTTGTACCTTATCCTTCTGTTGAATGGTTGATATATTTGAATATTAATTGGTGATATGTTTGGTTAAATTAAGGTATGAACATCGATTGATTGATGACATGGTGGCTTATGCCCTAAAAAGTGATGGTGGGTATGTTTGGGCATGCAAGAACTATGATGGAGATGTCCAAAGTGATTTACTAGCTCAAGGTGAGGGTTTAATTATATGGTTAAAACACACAAAAAATCAATAGATAATGAATTAGTATAGATTAATAAAATCTCTGTAAAGAAATTCTATTTATTAAAAGATCAATTGGAATTGGATTATTAAACAACCCACTAAATTTTTTTTTCTTGTGCAGGATTTGGTTCTCTGGGTCTCATGACATCAGTTTTGGTTAGTAAGATTTACATGACTTTGTCCTTGCTTGAGATGTGAGAAGAAGGGTTTGGTTTTTAACTAAAACCGTAACAGAACCAAGGAATTTGGTTTGACTTTGAAAAAACTGAAAATCAAATAAAAAATCCGGTTTTTTCTTTAGAAAATCCGAAACTGAACAAAAAATATTTGGTTTTTGACTTGGGAAAAACCGAAACCCAACCAAAGAATTCTGTTTTTTGACCCTGAAAAACCAAAACAGAAGCAATATGATTCTGTTTTATACCCTGAAAAAACCAAAACCGAAACAAAGAATTCGGTTTTTGACTATGGACAAACTGAAACCAAAAAACCAAACTGTCGTTTTTTTTTGCAGACCTCTAGTAACTGAAAAGCTTGTGAAACTGACACATGGTTTGCAATTTGTAGCTATCATCAGATGGTAAAACACTAGAAGCTGAGGCAGCCCATGGGACAGTAACACGTCATTTTAGGCAACACCAAAAGGGAAATGAAACCAGCACAAACAGTATTGCCTCAATTTTTGCATGGACAAGAGGACTTCAACATCGGTCTCTTTACCTTTCTTTCTAATATATATATATATATATATATATATATATATATATATATATAATATATATATATATATATATCAAGGTTGTAAAAATCGCTCGGCGGTCGACTGGCGATAAGCGATCAAGTATTTGAAAATTTTAAATTTTAAAATTTTGAAATTTTAAAAATTTTAGTATAATATTTTAAAATTTGAAAGCTTAAAAATTTAAAGTTTTAAAATTTTGATGTAATATTTGAAAAATATTTTTTTTTGAATTTTTTAAATATTTCCCGCCTATGACCGCCGAGGACCGCCAAGGACCGCCAAGCCCGAGTTTGACCGATTTTGACCAATTTCCGCCAATCACCCTAATCGTAATCGGTTCGAGGCCGCCAAGCGATTAATCGCCGATTAATCGGCCGCCAATGCCGATTTCTGCAACACTGATATATATATATATATATATATATATATATATATATATATTATATATATATATATATATATATATATATATAAATTACAGATTATATATTTAAATTTTCTTTTCTATAATAAGAAAGTTATATATAGTTATATACTAATAGTTGGGTTTAGTGAAAAATTCTACATGATGACACTAAATATTCCACTAAAGCAACTAAAGTTTGGCAAAACAGTCAAACTTGGGTGAAAAAGAGTTGTTAAACCACACAAATTGGCAAAATAGTGACTTTTTTGCATTTTGCCCTATAAGTTTGGTAGGACCTGTAAATAAGCTTTATGAAAAAGCTTTCCTATAGTGGAAAGATATCTTGAGGTTTTTGGATTGTTGAGTTGGTGCACAAAAAAGCTTTCCTATTGTGGATGGTCTAATAATGTTCATATTAGTTAAATCCTGTTTTGTTTGATTGAGCTTTTTTACAACTTGTTTCAAATGCTAAAAGAATGTTTATTATTGATATTTTGAACAGAGCTAAGTTGGATAAAAACGAACGATTAGCGGATTTTGTTACAAAGCTAGAGACCTCGTGTGTCGAGACTGTTGAGTCAGGAAAGATGACGAAGGATCTTGCCATTCTAATCCATGGACCCAAGTGAGTGCTACTTTCACTATCTGATTATATTTTATTATTTAGGCTTTACATACTAGAAAACCACAACATACTTATCTTCATTTTATCGATTTAGCCACTCAACTATTATTTCTTTACGACTATAATAATAATTCAGTGGCTAAATCGATAAAAAAACAAAATAGTTCAGTTGCTATATTGATAAAATGCTGAAAGTAAATGGAAGCTAATCGAGTCACTCTTTATAAAGTATCAACTTCAATGAGTTGACCAACATGGCTTTCTAATTTGAGTTTTATTTACAGGGCATCAAGGGAGTTCTACTTGAACACTGAGGAGTTCATTGATGCTGTTGCTCAAAATCTCAACTCTAAGCTTCAACCTCTTGCAGTTGGTTCATTAAAGTAAAATACAGAACAGTGGTGAGTGGTGGTCTTTGTTTGGGTTGATTAATTTCTGCCAACAAAGCGTTAGAGCCATTCATTGCCTATGACTCACTCTACTGTGAAAATGGATAACCGACACCTTCAACAAAAACATACGAAACAAAATGTTTGTTTGTTTCTCAACAAAATAAATATTTTTTGCGCAGAAAAATGATTGTTAACGAGTTGGTTTGGTAACAAGCTGTTAACGAGTTAATTTTCCACAGAAATGTTTATTCCATTATTTATTCTAGGAAAAATGATTATTTGCAATGATGGGATGAGATTGACAAGACGTACATTTCTTTTTATTTTGTACATACAAGAGATTTAGAGCGGGCAATTGCAATTTTTTTCCTGTTCAATTCAAGGTATGGTTGGCATCACCAATTTAATTAAAGGGAAATCTCTAGAAAAATTTTAAAATTTTACCTTAATTTACGAAAAAGTCTCAAACTAAAATTTGTTTACAAAAAAACATGAATTACCGGTAAAAATGGCGATTTGACCACTTTTTTCCGGTTTTCCGGTTTTATTACTTATATGTTTCACTAAAGTCTCATTATTTTACCATAATTTGCGAATAAGTCCCAAAATAAAATTTACTGATAATTTGACCATTTTCTCTATGTAACATACATTTTACCGGTTTCATTGCTGACCTGGACGCCTAGTCATTAAATGAGATGATGAGATAGATATGTTGAGTTATATAATGCTATGTTTAGCATAAAACTTGATATCCTGATGTATTGTATACCTTTTTGGAACATAAAATGCATCCAACGAAGACTACAATAATTACATAAACTAACAACAACTGCGTTATTTTTTACGTTTATAAGAAATATCAAATTGTCTATCTAATCCTTATGTAACCCAATATATTTATCTCATCAGACATCAACTCATTTTTGTAACGATGTAAATTTTAAAACAATTTTTCATTTTTCAAACATAATAAAACTCATATAATATTCTCAAAATCTCATGTATCAAATGTCATCACAATAAAACATATCCCAGAATCTCAACACATAATCTTCTGCCAGTGTGTACAAATCATGCCGACGCCTTCCCGTGATCCTCGCTGGTACTTGAAACACATATCACATAACACGGTAAGCATAAATGCTTAGTGAGTTCCCCAAAATACCACATACAACACATAAGCCACTCGAGGCTATAACTCAGTATGACCCTCCGGTCAATGTGTCTCAGCGGGACCCTCCAGTCCCGTAGCTCGTTGGACCCTCTGGTCCGGTCTAGCTCGTTGGACCCTCTGGTCCGGTCTAAATCGTAGGACCCTCCGGTTCGGTCTATATAACACATAACATACATATATCACAATGCACATAAACTCAAACATACACATAACACATAAGACCCTCCGGTCTGCACATAGTTACCACTCTAGGTAATGTATAGTGAGAAGACTCACCTCGGGTAATCTCGGAAAGTCTCGAACTCGAATCACTGATCTAGCCTCCGCCTAATCACATAAAGTAATTATCTCTAATTAATACGGCTCTCAAAGACTAGACTAGTCTCTCCCTATATTCTCTCAGAAGGGGAAAATACCATTTTACCCCTCCAATAGTACAATGTCCAACTATTGACCAAACCCTAAAAGTCAACCCCAGTCAACGATCCAACTTTGACCAGACTCGTCGAGTGCACTCGGGTGACTCGGCGAGTCCATGCGTGTCCTCTGAATCCTCCTAAGGCCTCACTCGACTCGTCGAGCTAACCTTTCTCTCGACGGGTTACCATTGATCACGAATCGTGGTGCAACACAATCCGACTCGTCGAGTCCTTTCATGGACCCGACGAGTTTCTTCCATGAGAATGCTTAAACGACCTTCTGAGGTCAGATCTGTTTCTCTAACTTATAGATCTGACCTTCTAACACCCAAAAGTCACGTAAAGGTCTGAACTTTACGTTCATGCATCGCACATATGGCTCTATTTGATGAAATAGCTCTAAAAATGGAGCCCTAGGCTCAATATTCTCATGTAACAGCATAAAGCTTGGTTGTTGGGACACTCTGGACCTCTCAAGGTCCAGATCTAAAGTCTATTCCTCAATGGGACTTCACATGCTCCATAGTCCAACTAAAGAAAGGGTAAAGATACCCTAGATTCAAGAGATCTACTATATACACGAAAATAGGCATGGATTCATACCTTGACAGCAACCTTTGGTGAAGTAATGGTAGGTCTGAGCTCCTCAATCAGCCTAGCTTGAATCCCCTCTCTTCTTCTTGCAAGAATGCACTAAAGGTGATGCAATTACCTCCTTCCCTCACTCTCTATGCTCTCTGGTTCGTTAGGGTTTCTCAAGTGGGTGTGTGGCCGCAATGAGGGCCATAAGGACCCTTAAATAGGGCACATGCCCGAAGATTTAGGGTTTCTGTCCACAGCGAGGACTCGTCGAGTCGACTCGCCGACTCGTCGAGTCCATTCATTAATCCTAGTCAGCAGTTGCGATCCTACTCGACGAGTTTAGGCGTCAACTCGTCGAGTCCCTCTCCTTGACTCAAAAATAAATACTCAATTTATGATACTTAGAAATCCAGATGTTACAATTTTCTGCCCTTTTTTCTTGGAAACACACATTTTATTGGTTTCATTGCTGACGTAGATACCTAGTCATAAATGAGCCGATGAGATGAGTATCAAATTTTATAGTAAATGTGGCATTATATAACCCATCGTATTCATCTTATCAGCTAATTTAATGACTAGGCGTCTAAGTCAGCAATGAAACCAATAAAATGTATGTTACATGAAGAAAAGGGCCAAATCATCAGTAAATTTTATTTTGGGACTTATTCGCAAATTAGGGTAAAATAATGGGACTTTAGTGAAACATGTAAGTAATAAAACCGGTAAACCGGAAAAAGGGGTCAAATCGCCATTTTTACCGGTAATTCATGCTTTTTCGTAAACAAATTTTAGTTTGAGACTTTTTCGTAAATTAGGGTAAAATTTTAGGACTTTTCTGGAGATTTCCCTTAATTAAACGAGTTGAGATTTTCAACCCAACTTGTTAGGTACACGGGATGACCAATCATTTTTTTCTTCCAATGTAGTCGGTTATGTAAAAGTGTTGGACTTGGTTTGACATATTTAAATTTATCATTTATATTACATAAAAAATCTTAGACTTTATTAAATCAAAACCATTGTTCAGGAAAAAAAAAGCAAATACAATTTAATTGTCAAAATAACATTTTGTTCTTGAACCCTTTTAATTTAGGGATAATGACTTAGGAGGGTAATTAGGTTTCTAGTTTGTCCGTATTAGGTCACTAAGGTTTTTTTTTTTTTGTGCGTATTAGACCAATATGGTTGTTATTACTGTTTAGAAATAGTCATTTTTACCGGTTTCTTCCTGTTTAACCGGTAAAAAAGACTCTTTCTAAACGGTAATAACAACCATATTGGTCTAATACGCACAAAAAAAACCTTAGTGACCTAATACAGACAAACTGGAAACCTAATTACCCTCCTAAGTCATTAACCCTAATTTTAAAGACATTAAGAATATATGACCATCAACAGTAAACTAGTTCGTTTAGAAATCGCGTCGTCCCATATCGACCAGAAGAAGAACTTGCTACTCCTCTATATGGCGAAACTCTTCATCTATAGTCGTCCCTTCGGGGACATCCGATAAAATTGGAACGATACAGAGAAGATTAGCATGACCCCTGCGCAAGGATGACACGCACAAATCGAGAAATGGTCCAAATTTTTTTTAAACCCTTCGTCGTCTTCTCTGAAACCCTAATTCCCTTTTCAAATGCTAATAGAGTTCAATTGCAATTTTTACGTTTCAGCAGATGAACTACTGAAGTCATGATCAGACAACATGTGGATTCCATGGTCAGATTGATATTCTTGTTGATGTCTTCAACCATTTGTGGCAAGTAAGGGTGATCTTTCTTTCTATAAAGTCTCCTTCAAGTTTTTTACTTTTCCTGTCATTAAGTTTCATGCTTTATAAACTTCTGTTTATGTGTTGTATATAGTCTGTATGTGTTTGGTTATGTGATGATTTTTTATTCATTTTGCAACTTCAGTTTCTTAGTTCATGTTGTGGTTTTGATGTTTATAAAATAATTGATAATAGGCATCCTTTGCAAGTCCTTGTTGGTTTTACATTTCCATTCTTTATCAAATGTAGACATTGATGGGAGGTATCAAAGTGAGATTGTTTTTGTACATATGGACGTGTTCATGTAAGCATTTAAATGACAAAAAAGAAGTTATTGATATAATGTTGCATATTTATGTAATGAAGATCATCAATCATATGAGTTTTTGGACTTGGAAATTCTGGAAGGGTTGTGTGATAAATTTAAATGGAAGCAACTATTTTCAGTCAAACAAGTCAGTCACATTGATTAGTAAGCATGTTTTCTAAATAATTAGGGTTAATGACTTAGGAGGGTAATTAGGTTTTCAGTTTTTCCGTATTAGGTCACTAAGGTTTTTTTTGTGCGTATTAGACCAATATGGTTGTTATTACCGCTTAGAAATAGTCATTTTTACCGGTTAAACAGGAAGAAATCGGTAAAAATGACTATTTCGAAACGGTAATAACAACCATATTGGTCTAATACGCACAAAAAAACCTTAGTGACCTAATACGGACAAACTAGAAACCTAATTACCCTCCTAAGTCATTATCCCTTTAATTTATGAGATAAGACAATATAAAAATGAATAAAAATATACATTTAAAAGGATTGGGTTGGATTGGAGATTGGGTTGATTTTTGTTGGTTCTGGTGTTTGAAATGTCCTCAACCAAGGTTTTGGTGTTTGACATGTGTTGTTTTCCAAAAGAAGTTAGGGATACTCGATGATGTGCACAAATGGGAGTTGGATGTTTGACTTCTGTTTTATCTTCGCATCCGACTTTCAACCTTTTGTGGTAGATTTTTCCAGAAGCTAACGACTAAAATCTGAAGTTATAAGTTAAAGCCTAAAGGTCGTCGAGAGTACCATTAAGTCAAAATGTAAGTGGTTAACCTTTAATGGGTGTTGGGGTTGTAACAAAGCGTCTCTGTCTCTGTGGACTGTGGCCGTCAATTGGGGATGTATGGGTTGTTTGAATTACGGAAATGGTCCCCATTATATTACAAAAAGTCCCAATGTGATAGCAACGTAATAAAAGATAGTCCTTATATAAGAAAAATTACAATAATGGTCCGGTG